AAATTATTTAAAAAAATGAAAAAAGGAGATGAAGGAGCAAATGCAACTGCTTTTGAAAACAAAGGGGAGAAAGGAGAATGGTTTGAGGAAGAGCTCTCCGGGCTGCTGTCCCTTCTTGCTCCTGTCACCCCCTGGGTGTCCTCTCGTGCCAGGTGGGAGAGGAGCTAGGGCTGAGGAGGGCACAGGAGGGTCACTGCTGAGGGCCCCGCACCCTGCCCCACTGCCGTCTACCCATGGTTTAGTGTTGGCTGCAGTCCAATCTGCTCACATTCATTTTCTTGGTCTTCCTCCCACACCTCCCCCAAATCACCCAAAAAAGCCAGCGTGTGTCTCCTATGGAAGATCATCTGAGGAAACAGGCCAATTTGGGAAAAACATTAGCGTGCATATTAGTGTTTCTGTATCCCCCTCCTCCATCACTGGCTTTGAGAGACTCCGTCTTGCTGCGTGGGACAAAGTCCCTCAGTCCCTGGAAGTTCATGGGGTCATGTTCTTGGGGCCATCTCCAGCACTGCACCGCAGCGGGGATGGGAGGGACAGACATTCCCTTCCCCAGGGCCAGACAGCTGAGGCTTATGGCAGGAGATCCTTGGCTGATGGGGAAAAGGGAGAGGGAAGCATGGAAAGAAAAGACGCCGAGAGATCTTTGTGGGTTCTGCACACAGGGTTGTGCCCTTTCTCTGCACAGAGAGTCCTGGCCACGAAGTTCAGGCTGGGGGGCTGACATCAGCCCAGAGGAGCGGGTGACTTTCCTTTACCATAAGCCATACCTGGAGGGCTACCTACCCAAAGTAGGCCTTTTCCCAGCTTGCACAGAAAAGCTGGTTAGGGTCCAGAAGGGGCTACCCCTCCCCCTCTTTCATACCCTTTCTCCTCTTTCTCAGGGTCCATACTGAGATCTTTAACTGAGACAAGCTTACTCATACTCTCCTCTCAGTTATTTTTGTTTTGTTTTGTTTTTCCAGCTCAGAAAAGTGGGTTAGAGTCTATTGACCCACACCATGTTCTAGAATCCTGTTTGTCAAACTTTCCCATTTGAGAACCCCTGCAGGGGGAACGGGAGAAAGTGAAATCCAGTTTGAGCTAGGTGCACCTTCTGAGCAGAATTCTGCCCGGTCCTGGTGTTAAAGCCTCGGGCTGTCTCCAATCGCCCACAATCAGGTTGCAAAACACCTCTCCGGGTTTACTTTTGTCTAGTTCTGACAACAAAGAAATTGCTTATCCCTTTCTAGCAATTCTCCCTTGGGGGGAGGGAGAAGGTGATGTCGTGGGCAAGGCACCCTGAGCCTAGAAATTCAGAAGCCAAAAACTCTGTTAAGGGTGGTTTCTGGTGTTTATTAGCCAAAGTTATTTCTAATGTTTAATTTATGTCTTTCTATCTCAGTGTCTTCAGCACTAAAATGTGGCCTAAACCCATCGCAGCTTACAGGGATACTAACGTGCCGAAAACACTATGAAAACAATTCTAAAAGTTCTTCTAATACCTATCTTTTTACTGGTATAGCCTCACTTTTTAAAAAACTAACCATAATTTATGTGTCCTAAAGAGACATCCTGCACATATTAGCAATGAGAAATCTCTGGATTTCGAGATTTTCCTTTGCAGGCATCCGGAGCAGCTAAAGATTAGCTCCTGTCAAAATGAATCCATTTCCTCCTCCAGTTTGCTTTGGGGGTTCAGGAAGGTTTGCCTCCTGCTTCTGGGTCTCCTCTCCGGGTCAGCAGCGCCCCGCGTCAACCAAGGCAGCTGTTAAGGGTCCTGGCCGCGTGGGGCGGAGGGCGGCTGACGGAGACCTCCTCGTTGGACTCCAGCTGCCGCTGTGTGTGAGCACATGAGCCAAATGGTGATCCCTGGGCTGGCTTTGCACTGGGTTGTTTTAACTGAAAACCCACTCTCCTGTCATTCCTGGAGCTGGGTGAGTCACAGATCTTGTCCTTCTTCCCAGTTTCCGAAGCCAGAAGAAAATGAGGAAGGTTGCAAGGAAAGCCGGTTCTGAGGCTGAGGAGCAGGGAGAGATTCTAAAATCGTCCCCCAGCTACAGGAGAGGCTGATGGGAAAAGGCCTTTTCTGGGACAGGAAAGAACCTTGAAAATGAATGCATGACGGCCTCTTTAGGCTGGGCCCACCAGCCCAGCTCAAGGAACATCAGACTATCCAGGATGCAAGTGTTCATCCTGGTTGCTCTGATCCTTGGGAGCTTCGACCAAATGGAAGGGGGTGCAACCGGATGATACCCTTGCTGACCCTGCATAACTAAGGGCCACACGAAACAAATCCAAGGTTGTTAGTGGAAAAAATATCCCAGCACTGAGATGTGGCTTTTCCTTTATGCTCACCCTTGCGATCACGCAGGCTTTGAGGTCTGCCCATGATCTCGTCCTCTGAGGCATGCAGGTTCCGGATCAGGAAGTACGTGGTCATTTTCCCTTTACCTTTCACTTCGATTTCACCCCTCTCAATTATTTCAAAGCCTTGATTTTCCAGAGCGCTGCACAGAGGGGGGAAAAATGCACCAGATATCAAAGATCACAGGTCTGCAACTTGAGAGTTGGCTACAATGGAGAGGGTGATTCAGGAGGAGTCTGGGTCCCAGGGCACACAGAGGATTTTTCGGGGGGAGGGTGACCCCAGGACATTAGCCAGTCCTGCTAAGTGGGGCAAGGAGAGGAGTATGAAGCTCAGACACGCCGAACAGGGTGCCAGAGGCAGAGTGAGAGCATAGGGGACCCACCAAGATCCTGTGACCCTACCCCTCCTTCCCTCCCTCCAACACACTGCTCATACCCACAGCCCGCACGCTGCAGCCACCATGTCCTCTCTGCCCGTGTGTGCACCAGCCCCATGCGGTTCTGAAACAGGAGGCTCCTTGGAAATCAGCACTCCTTTCCATCCTCCCCAAGCACCCCATTACCCCATGTGGTCATGCTCATTCTCACTCCCCAGGCTTTCTCCATGGCCCCTGGCTGCCAAGGAACCAAAGAGAAGAGTATGGGGAGGGGACCATGAAAAGAGACAGAGCTATGGGATAACTGTGAAATGTTTGCTTGTTCATTTATTTACTGGCGGCTGCCAGGTGTTGGAGAGAAACCACAGAACAATGCAGACCAGCCATGTTTCCAGTTCATGGTCAGGTGCCTCAGCCAGCTCTTGGCATTCACCGACCTTCCCTGGTCCTTGGCCAGTTCCGTGGAGATTTCAGACCTTCACTGGTTTCCTCTAGTTCCCCCACTTGGCACCTGCCCTCCTCACTCTCAAGTTGCTGGCTGTGCCTCCTACTTTGTGACCTTTGTGATTCTTCTATAAAAGTGTAACCATTTATAGGCAAGACCCCACGGCTTCTCACCCCCCCGACCACGCTTCCCTTTTTCCCCAGTCTCCTGAGGATGAGGTGACTCAGAGGATGTCTTGTGCAGGGGCACCTGATCGATCTATGCTCCCTTCCCGCCTCCTCAAGGGCTGGCCCCATCAGCCACCTCGCCCCTTCTCTTCAGTTCCCACCATTTGCGTCCTCCCCGCAACCCAAAGCCTGCTAAGGTCTCTTCCATCCTAAACAGAAGCAAAAACCTTCCCACTTTATTATCTCCTGCTTTAATCCCATACATTCTCTCCCTTTAATCCTTAAACTCATAGGCCATTGTCTATCCCCACCATTCCACCACAGCCGCGTCTGATAGTGTCCCTAAAACTTCTGGTGCATATGTTTCTGTCCTTGTTACTATTTTGATATTTTTGTTCAATTCCTCCTCCCTAGAAATACCCAAAGGGGTGCTTGAACTCTGCCTGTTCCTTCTTTTTTCTCCTGCCTCTTAACATGGGCTCGTCTTCATCCACCTACCACTTAAATGTTTGCTCTTTGCACTATTCTTCTCCCACGGCATCCTTCCCCAGGTGATGTCCTCAATCTCATGGCTGAATTGCCACCTATATGTTGCCTTCTCCAAGTCGGGATCCCCAGCCAACACCTTGACTCCAACTTTCACCCAGCCATGTAATGGCACTTCTACCTCAGATGCTCCAGAGTTCCTTTGAATTCAGCACTTCCCAGCCTGAATTCATCATCTGCCTCTGTGAACTAGAAGCTGTCCTATCTCTGGTGGTGAGATTCAGGTCCCTGTCACCCGGCATGGAGGTCTGGGAGACATTCAAGGCTCTTCCCTCTTTCTCATTCTCCATTTCTAGCAATTACCAAGCTCAGCTGATTTTACTTTCTCCTGAACTCCCACCACCAGTGCTCCGGTTCAAACCCAATACCTCACGGGCCTTCTCTTTCCCATTTCCTGATGCTTGAATCTGCCCTTGCATGGTCTGGAGAGTCAGCGTCAAATAGGACCCTGACCCCACCATTGTCTCCAGTCTCACATTCCCTGGGGCTCTTCTTCACCTACAGCGAGCACCCTTGCTCTTTGACGGGGAACACACGGCTCCCACTGCTTTCTGCTTCATGTCTTCCACTCCAGCAAGCTAAATTTTTCGTAGTTCCCTGTTCCTACTCTCAATCTGTGCTTGTACTGCTGGTTTTTCACTCCCCAAACCTCAGCTTTGGCTAAACTCCTACTCTGAACTCCTTGTTCAAAATTCAGCTCAGGAACCTCCTCCCCCACAAAGGATTTCTTTACTGGGTTCGGCGCCCTCGCCTAGGCTCCCAAGACACATGCTCAAATTACCTCAGGCACGAGAGTCCAGTGGTCAAAGCCGGGCCTCAGAGCCTGACCCCCGGGGTTGTATCTGGGCTCTTTTCCTTCCTAGCCTACTTGGGACCTGGGACACGTTATTAACCTTTTGGTGCCTGACTTTTTTTTCTCATCTGTAGATAAGAATAATAATAGTACATTTTCATAGAGCTGCTGCAAGAGCAAATGAACTTACATATGTAAAAGAACTTAGAACAGAATGCGGCTGGCCTCTGGTAAGTTCTAAAATAATACTTGTTTTATGCTTATCTTTATCATTGTACTTATCACGCTTTCAAAATAATTCTTTGTCGAGTATTTTTTTCTTTTTCTACTAGACCAGGGTTAAGCACATTTTTTTTTTTTTTTTTTTGGTAAAAGACCAGGTAGTAAATAATTTCAGCTTTGCAGGCCATACAGCCTCCACCACAGCTACTCAACTCTGGGGTTGTGACACGAAAGCAGCCATAGATAACGAGGAAATTAAAAAGCGTGACTGTGTTCTAATAAAACTTTATTTACAAAACAAGCAGCAGGCTGGATTTGGCCTATGATTGTACTTTGCCAGTCCCTGCTTTAGATCATAAGCTCCTTGGGAGCGAAGCTGTCTTATAGTAGAGGTTCAATGGTATTTACTGTCCGACACAATGTCTTCTGTAAGCCTGGGTGGCATGGAAGAAGAACCACAGGTCTCCTTCGTAACCCCCATCCCATGGCAGCTAGGCACTCTGTGCATTCTGGAAGTAGGGGAAGTCAAAGGAAGGAATGAATACTTGGTTGGCTACCTGTAGGCAGTGGGACTGAGGTGCACTTTGTCAGGAAGCCCGTGACTTTCCATCCTAGAAGCTGTGTTCACAGTGTCACCAAACAAGCAGTACCGGGGCATCTTGTCTCCCACCACACCTGCTAGGACTGGTCCCGTATGGATGCCAACTCTGATCTGCACAGAGAGAACGTCACTGAAATGGGACCATCGAATACTCTTGCTTTTCTTTTTAAATCGAGGTACAATTTACATAAAATAAAAAGACAGATCTTAAGTAGTTAGCTCCATGAGTTTTGACAAGAGCATATAGCCCTGTAGCTGCCATCCAAAATAAAATACAGCCTACTTTCATGACCTCACAAAATTATCTTGTGCCCCTGTCCGGTGAAGTTCCATCCCTCTCTGCAGGGGTAACAACTTTCTTCTTTCTTTTTACCAAAGATGAATTTGCCTGTTCCTATAGGAAAAGGAGCCTGTCAACTACCAAGTAACACTCCCTCGTGCATAGTAGGACCTCAGTACCTGTAGATTGAAGGCTATGTGAATGAAATAATAGAAGATCTCCAAGAGTACTATCTTATCTCAATTCTTGAGAGAGAAATGTTTCAAGTCCTTTTCCCTACTTCCTTAAATAAACCCACAGGGTATTTGTTTCTGGTGGATAGTTAATGATGCTCCTAACCATGTCCCTATTCTTACCTTAAACTTGGTAACATCTTTTCCTGTTTTCTTCTTGGTAAATCCACCGTGAGAGTGTCCAGGAATTCACTGTTTGATTTCGTTCTTACTGGTGTAACATTACCGTCATCTGCAGCTATGCTTCTTACACACACACACACGCACACGCACACAACCCTATACACACACACCAGTTACACAACGGTAATTTGCAATTATTTTTTTCTCAGTGGCTTATATTACAGCCCTTTAACTGAAACACGATCTCTTATCTGACCTTCTTATCTCATTCCCTCCTCCTCTCCCATCTTGATTTTTCATTGGGCCTTTTTTTCAACAGATGTATCTCTGTGTTTTTGATAGGCCGAGTATTGTGGATGTGTTCTTCCTGTAACTACCTAAAAGCAGCTTTTGCTCAGAAGGCTACAGTGGGCACAATAACCAGAACCTGCAGCATTTCTCAGTGCCACACTCATCATGAGGGGGAGTGGAATGCATCTTCAGAATCTCCTCCATAGGGGTTGTAATTTAGAAAAATCGTATTCCATCTTAAAGTTGTCTTTATTTATTTTGAATTGGCTGGGTAGTTTATCTTGAAGAGCTGCCTGCCAGAAACAGAGAAGGGATTAAATTTTAAACCACAGAAACACTGCTCAAAGACATCTCAGGGCAGCTAGGATCTGCTGAGCAGACAGAAGAGGACACCTACTTTTCATCTCCAGAATTCTCCATCTTTTATAGTGTGAACAAACTTCCATGCTTGGAAGAGTAGGTTCCTGTGAGAGAGGTGAGCAGATGTCTCACTCAGGGCCACGTGGTGGGAGGAAAGCTATTCTAAATATCTCATGGCACCCTGGTGTCTAGCCTACTGCTGAGGGCAGTTTCCCCCCTAAGCCTGATCCCTGAACCTTTGAGAAGGCATGTCAAATACACAGTTTCCCTTGGGGTGGGAAGGGGTTGGCTATTAAATAAACCTGAACCACTTGTTGGATTGAATGCCCAAATTAAAAAGCCAGAATTATAGGGCGCCTGGGTGGCTGCCTGCTCCTTGGGAGCCTGCTTCTCCCTCTGCTTCTCTCTCTCTCTTTCTCCCTCTCTCTCTCTCTCTCCCTCTGTCTCTCATGAATAAATAAATTAAAAAATTTAAAAAAGCCAGAATTATAAAAAAGCCAGCTATCAAAATGGGTTGAGCCCTGCAGAGTAAATGGAGATACGTGCTCAGCACTATGGGCAAAGAGGCTTGCAGTAAATCCCATGAAAATCCCAAGCTCCAAAGCCTCCTCTGAAATTTAAGAAAAGTTGGGATGATGATATCCTTACTATTATCTTGATTACTTAGAACATGTGCAAGAGAAGACAAGAGTTGGGAGAAATTACCCATTTTATTTTATTTTTTTTAAGATTTTATTCATTTATTTATTAGAGAGCAAGAGAGAGAGAGAAACAGCACGAGAGGGGAGAGGGTCAGAGGGAGAAGCAGGCTCCCCGCTGAGCTGGGAGCCTGATGTGGGACTCGATCCCAGGACTCCGGGATCATGACCAGAGCTGAAGGCAGTCGTTTAACCAACTGAGCCACCCAGGCGCCCCAAAATTACCCATTTTAATCACTATAACATACCCAGTAACCATCTGAACAGACTAATAAGCAGAATTCTACTTTTGTGTGCGTGAGATGCTTGGTATTCAGCAAAGTACTCAATTTCTCTCTACCTGGATGGGTTCTCCAGTAATAGGATTCATGACTTCTTTTGCAGAAATTCTCATCCCCAAGGCAAAGTTAGCCACTCTTTGAGCATGGCTTCCAATAGGCACCGGTACGCCCCCCACCACCATGTAAGCATCTCCTATTGTTTCCACCTGTAAGGGGAAAGGGACATTCAGAGGGTCTCCTTAATGCATTAAACATATGACTAAATACTTTTGTCATTTTCCGTGTATTGACAGAAGGACCATATTAAAGCTGGTGGTTATTTGCCAGGAGGATGAGGAGCATGAGGGAAGGGGGAAGAAGAAAAGTGATTCCACAAACAACCATGAGAGAGCCCAAAGGCCTTTCTGCTTCTGGCAGAAACAAGTTCCAGAGAAGACAAAGCCCCTGGGTTAGTGTATGATGGTATATATTAGACATACATTATTTAGATTAGACTTTTTGCTGAATTCAAGGGGTAGAATTATTCCCCGGGAAAACAGGGTGCCCTTCAAAGGCATTTTAGCACTGAGTATTATAAAAGGATTTCTAAAAAAACTAAAATTCCTAAAATAGCTCCAATTCCCTTTTGGGTCTCCCTGCTCACCCCACTCCCATCCACACCAAACTGCAGACCAGCGAAGATCAGGGAGGCTGAGCTCTTGCGTGAGCGCACCATGGCACACACCCCACGATTCGCAAGCACTTACTTTGTAGACCTCGTGGACACTGGTTAATCTGTCAAACTTGGAGTACATTGAATTCAGCATCTTCACTATTTGGATAGGTTGGCAGGCAGCACAGATGTTAGTGAATGTCACCACATCACTGAAAAGAATCGTGCAAGTTTTAAATTCTCCTGCAACATAAACCAAGTGTCAGTGATAGCCAAAGATATGGAATAATAATCCTATGAATTCTAGATTCAGGTGCCCCTTGGGAACCAAATCTGACTGTGCCCTGGGGAGAAGGAGCCGGATGCCATTCAGCCAGCAGACCTTCCCCGAGGGCCCGCTATGAGCCAGTCATCATGCGGGGAGAATCACCCAACAAGAAGCGGACAGCACCTCGGCCCATGAGCTCCCAGTCCAGTGGAGGAGACATAAGCGTAATCGAACACCCTGTAAGGTGTGATGAGAGGCATGGCAGGACAGAAATGGGCTGGGTGGGCACTGGCTGACAGAGAAGCCCTTGGCAGGTAGGCTGAGGCAGAGACCCAGGGGCAGGGCTGATAGAGACTGGTCACCATGACGTGGTGAGTTCCGCTATCCAAGTATGGTGAGAAAGCCGCCATATCCTCAGCACATCCTCCTAATGCATCAGGCTGCTTCCAGTCCTGAGAATTTCCATATAGCAGCTAGATGATCTGTTTAAGTCAGACCCCCAACTCCTCTGCCTCACATCCATCGACTTCCATCACACTGAGACTAAAACAGAAAATGCTTACCGTGGCCAATAAGGGGCCCCCTCTGTCCCCGCCACCTCTCTGACCCCATGCCTCGGCGTTCTCTCTGACTTACTCCACTCCAGCCACACTGACCTCCTTGGGGTTCTCAACTCCCTCCTGCATAGGGCCTTTGCACCTGCTGCTTCCTCTGCCTGACCCCTCATTTCTCAAATATCCAAGGAGCTCTGTCTCACATCTCACATGTAACCACCTCAGTGAGAACTTCCTTTCCCACTCTCTCTAAAATAAGAGTCCCTCGACTCTACCCTTTTAGCCTCATTGCTGTCCCCAAGCCCATATGCCTTACATGGCCTATTTTATATGGGATTGTTTATTTGCTTATTGCCTGTCTTCCCCCACTGGACTATAAACTCCATGAGATGAGAGACTTTTCTGGTCTCTGCTATACCCCCAGCACCTAGAGCAGGGCCTGGCACATAGTAGATGCTCAGTAAATATTTGTGGATGACTGAATGTATGACTCCTTGAACAGAGCTGGGTACTTTCTGTGTTATTTACACCTCTGGTAATAATCTCCTATTCATGTAACTTTCTCTTCCCTTTGGCTTCTGGCCTACCGTTCTCTCTTCGTATTCTCCCTACCTTTCTGATCTTGTTTTATATATTCCACTGGCTTTTCTTCCTTCTTAAATAACAGGTGTTCCCCAAGCTTCAGTATTTAACCCTCTTCCCTTCTTTACCTCTCGCCCCCAGACGACCTTAATTATATTTCATACCATCTGTGGTTAACCACCTTCTTCATGCTGCCTCACCTTCGCTCCTGCAATCCCATTCTCCTGCAATGCCTCTCCGCTCTTCTTGGGTTCTTTTGTATGTTCGTTTGTTTGTTTGTTTGCTCAAATAGAGTCTCAAGGTTTAACTCAAGTGCCATAGACTTTATGTAAAGCCTTATAGCCCCTGACCCTGTATCTTTCTCTCCGACTTCTACTTATTAACTTCCCTAGCATCTGTGTTTCCACACCTTTGTTACGGACAAAGTATGAATTCTGGAGTTAGAGGGACTTCTGATTGATTTTCAGCTCGTTTACTCATAAACTGGGGTGAATGTAAATTCACTCAGCTGTTTGGGATAATAACACCTCCCCTCATTGAAATGTTCAGAAAATTAAATGAAATGGCCTATAGGAAAATGTCTAATCCAGATCCTGGCACAATCATGGCTCCTTAATGCACACGAGTTTCCCTTCCTTTGGCTACCCCATCCCCCATGAACATATCCTGTACATATCTGTCAAACCCACAAGAGTATGAACTCCTTTGGGTCCTCAAGACCTGACAGCACTCTGGCATTGATTGGCTTTGCCACTTGTGTCTGGGGGTGAACACACACCAGTGACAAATGGAAAGTGAATTCAGAGTAAACACAGCATCCTTCCTCCCAGAATGGTCCTTAGAGGCACCCCATGATTTAGGTCAAGTGCGGGTGTGTTATTTCCGGTTCGAGGAAAGAACTCTATTCGTGGTCCCCGACAGAGGCCAGTCTCAGGCCACACTTCCAGGTCTTAGAGAACGTGATATAAGCTGACAGGAATTTTTATTTAATCCATATTTCGCAGTTGTATTCTTTCTATTATTACTAATATTGGGAGAAGAAAACTGAGGACACACAGCTTATGTAACCAGCCCAAGGTCATGTCGCTGACAAGTGATGGAGCCAGAATTCAAAGCTAGATCTGTCCTGTTTCAGAGCCTGTGCCCTAACCGCTGAGGAGCACTGCCTCTTCTTGCTCAGAGGTCCCCATGAAGAGAAGGGAATGCTCTACCTGCGGCAACCTTTTTGCCCTCCTTCAGCTGGTTGGCCACATGTTTGGGCAGCATGGCATAAAGCAGGGTCTCTGTTTTCTCCTTTTCTATGGCCAAGTGCTTGGAGAGGACCCGCAGCTCCTCCTTCTTCCTCTCCAGCTGGTTGGATAGCTCAATCTCAGCCAGTCGCTGCTGGTTCAGGAGGATGAGATCCCTGGTGGTATCATGGGGGGCGATGTCAGAGAGGTGCATTTTACACTCCTCCAGCTCCTGCAGACTGCGGAGCTTCGGGGAGCACATGTATAACATGCAGCGCATGGACTCCATCCAGATCATCTGGCCTTCCCATCATGGAGAGAAATGCGACAACATAGCACGTCACTAACAGGTGAGTGACGTCACCAGCTCGTCACCCACACTGTATGCCCTTGAATCCCCTGCACAGTCTTACTCCTTCCCTTTCAGCCACATTTCTTGAGAGCTTAATCTAGACTTCCTGTCTCCACTTACTCATCTTCCCTGTCTCACAGCACCGTTTTTTACTCGGAGGTGGCCCCGTCCCTACTTCCAAGACACCTACTCCAACACGAGTCTGTCTCTCCCCCTTCCTGAACCCTCTTGCTGTTGGGTGGTGTAATGCAGAAACCCCCTCCCTGAAACCACACTTCCGGAGACTTCCCTGACACTGCTTTGTCTCTGAGATTCCCTTGACTTCTTTCCATTTTTCCTCTAGGGTTTTTTTTGCTCATTCCTTCAGTGCTGGTGTTCCCCAGCGTTCTGTCTGAGTGTTCTCTCTTAGTATCCCACAGCAGCACCCTACATCATGCTGACAATGAATCTGAATTTCCAGAGAAACCCTGCTTCCTGGACTCAAGGTACATAGTTCCTTAAAAATAGATATGTTTATTATTTTATTATAAAAGTACACATGCATGGCAGAGAAAGAAAAAAGTTGAAGAAAATAATAAAAGTCATCCATAATCACACCACTCAGGTGATTACTAAAAACTGGGGTTATCTGCCATCTTCTTTTTGTAATCTGAATTTTTCATTTAAAATTTATATAAGTAGCATAAATATGGATATGATCATACCTTTTTGCTGCCTACATTGATTATACCCTATTTTATTTAAGCAACTAGCTAGCATGGCTTATATTATTTCCCTTTTATCAGTCTATAAACAACATGGCAATGGCCAAGTTTAAGGTAAGTCATTTTGTATGATCATGGCTATTTTGTTTAGGATATAATCTTAGACAGGGAATTACTGAGACAAAGAATGTGCTCATTTTTAACATTTTGGATGCATATTGCTAAAATGCCCTCTAAAATGATTGCGACAATTTATACTCCCATCAACAGTGATGTTTTTTAATTACTCGTCAATATTTACACATGGTTGTCTGCAACTAAACTCACCTTCAGTCCCCTCTGCCAATCTGTTTATTTCCTCGCGCGTGTACCTAACCCAGGCTATGAGCAGGGAACACTATTCTGGGCACTGAGGAGACAGCAGGAACTCAAACCGGCCAAGTCCCTGCCCCCAAGGAGTTCACAGCGTATATTTTTCTCAGCTAATTACACCCTTATCACCCAGTTACCCAAGCAAGCAAGCTAATCATTCGCCTCAGTATTCTTTCTCTTTTTGCAACCCCGACATTCAATCCATTCAGTTGCCAACTTCTGCCTTAATTCTCTCCTGAATCTGTTCCTCAGTGACCACCCCCGCACCACCACTTGGGTGCACTCGGGGCTTTAAAGCTTCTCACCAACTCTCCAGTGGCAGCCTCCCGCTTTCTATCCACTTTTTTTGAGAAAACTGGAAAACTCTGCCGGATCCCTTTCTGAGCAATGGCCCAAATGGCGGAGAGCGATGGGGGAGGGGTGAGCTCCTTACCTCGGAGTCTGAGCGCAGGCTGACTTTTCCTTGCCTCGGGCCTCCTTTCTCTTCGTGCCTTCAGGACAAATTGGCTGTTGATAAACTTGCAGATGCTGAAAACGTTGAAGGTAACTTGGGGATGAATGATGGAGAAACACTCGTCTAATTGAATCTTCTGGGTTTGGAGTCCCGGGACATACTTCTGAATATGCACTCCAGCTTGCTTGACCCTCAGCTGTCCACAGAGGACAGATGTAAGACAGGGAAACAGAGAGCAAACTGCACCATACCCTTTCCCTTGGCAATACCACTCTGCATGCTCTGTGACTCACTAAGGGGGAGAAAGGGTCAGTGATGGAAAAGACACCATAGAAATAATAAATATTAAAATTAAAAAAAAAATCAAATCAGCAGCTAATCTCTGAAAGAGTAAAGGATAGTATGGGGTGCTCAAAAGCATATCTCTGACTAACAAGAAACAGAGTTTAAAGTCTCAATGGTGCTATCGGTCCTTCCCTAACTCTGTGGGATTTCTCTGTCTCTGTCTCTTTCTGTCTCTCTCTTTGACTCTCTCCTTCTTCCCTCCCCTTAGAATTCATTAATAAAGAAACTAGCAAATTCTCTAGCTTAGATCTGACACCCAGGCCTGGGTGAAGGAGTCCATCACAGACATGAGGAGACATCTTTCCCTGCTATCTCCAGGGAACACTCGGAAGGAAGAAGCAAAATGAGTATCCTGTATATAAAATGTCCAATGTCTACACAAGTTGCCCCAGAAAACAACATCACTAACCATAGGCTGTCTGTTAGGTTACAGAAATCAACTTAACATTATAGAATAACTACCATTAAATTTCTGTTCTTGTTATTCTACGCCCAAAACTTAAAAAGAAAAAGGAGTTTTAAGAGGCATCAGAATTTAAAACATTAATGGTAGCGATAATAATATCCTCATGACACTAGGGAAATACCAGAGCACATTGCTTTATAATTCCCTGGTTGTTTCTTATAGGAGTGTTTGATTTCCTCAGTTAGAACAATTCTTTGCAAGCAGAGTTGACCTTCAAATGAGTAAATTTCATAGAACCCTTATCCAGCAATCAACTGGCAGGTGATTTTTCAAACATGTCTCTGCATTCAAATAAATATCAGAGAAAATCACAATTACCTGAAGCCATTTTAACTAATATTTTTGACCAAATTTATTTTGCCTAATTGCCCTTCAAGTGAGCTCATAATCGATTCGATTGACAGAACTTTATCCAAGGAAATTGATAACAACCAAATATTTTCCATTAATGGTCATCCTCACAACTCCCACAAAACAGTGGCATGAGTTGGCACAGACCTCTCCCCTGCTTTAAAGATGCAGAAAGAGAAGCTTGGTGGGATTGAGACGTCCACAGTGGCCACAAGGACGGCAAGGAGTCACATCTAAAATCTCACCCTGTCATTATTGACTGTGTTCTTTCGTCTCTTGGCGGCATGAGCTTTGGTGTCACTTCCTTTTTCTCTAATGACAAACCTTCCCTGTGCACTCACTAGTCTAGACCCCTTGGTGCTGCTCTTGACCCCTACATATGGAGAAGAGCCTGCATTCTGGTTTCTGGAGGATGCCAAAATGAAAAAGAAGTCAATAGTCATGCCAGACTAAATCCTAGTCTCCCAAACCCTAGGGACTCCTCAGGGACTTGAAGGTCCCCACCAGCCATGAAAGACTATATGACATATTCCCTTCCCAGCTTAACCTTAATCCAAGCTACAGAGGGAAAGGGCCTCTTACTGATTCATCAAACACAATGTGGAAAGGAAAAGCACTGCAGAACGTCTTCTGTTCAATCCAGAGCCGCTCAGGATAAACTGGCACAAAGGTGTTCACAAGATGCCCTGGATGTAGGAAAAGAGAGTCCTGTTCATAAGCAGCTCACACCACCAACCTGGCACAGAGCAGAGCTCAGGATAGTGTCTTAAATGTTTCATGGGCAAAGAGCAGTCCCCATTCTCCATCACAGGCTCCCTCAGCATCTCCAGATGGCCACAGCAATTCTCCCAAATTAAAACAAACAGAAAACTTGCTCCTGGGTTGAGAAGCAACCCCCCCACCCCCTGCCAAGTTTCTGCCTGCTGCTGAAGAGTTTCTGGGCCAATTGAGTATGTCTCGCCATGAAAACAGAGCCGGCATTGAAACGGTGACAGCCAGACAATGAGCCAGCAGAGCAGAGCGTGTGTGCCCGGCCCAGCGTCAGGGACATTTGCCATGGAGCTTTTTAGACTGACAGTTTTGGGTGGCACATGAAAATTTAACCAACAGCCCTATTTGGCAGGGGGTAGAGATTCGAAATGGAGCCTTTTTGATATGAAAATCTCCCAGACAAAGGATGTCAATTGCGTGTTTGACTCACTTGCCATGGCTTGAGGGACTCAAAATGCAGCCTTTTGAGCCCTGCAGACCTCCTCCCAGATGCATTGTCACCATGACCCATGGGGCATGATGGGGAGGGCTCTAGCTCAGGGCTCCCAGTGGGGCGGGGCTCTCCTTCTGGCTCAGTCATTAGTGCTGATCATGAGACAAGCTCGGTGTCAACAAGGGCACCTTCAGAGCCTGATGCCTTCATTTTTCACGAGGAAGATGGAGGACCTTGTTCAGGGCCATACAGCAACTCAGGGACAGAGCCAGAAATCTGCTTTCTTGGCTCCTGATCCAGTGTCCTTTGCACTACTGGACACCATGGTTATTAAGTGCAGACTTCTAGGCCAGAAATGCATCCCAGTCCAGAAGGCCCGAGAAGCTATAGAAAATTCATTGTTCTTGAGAATGTCGGTGCTCATCCTCCTTCCTTTCAACACAGTGACCAACTGGGACTGATGCCCATCCTCTCTCCAGTGGCTTTTCCCGATTACTGGGGAGACTGTCTCTGTGTCACCCAGCACAAATAAAAGGGGCGAAGGAAGGCAAGTTAGAGTCTGATGTTTTAAAGTTAAAAATCATGCCTGCCAAAGCCAAGCTCTGCAGAGATCAGTGACATCATAATCATAGAAGACTTTGCCCATTTGTGTGCACCAAGCAACTATTCTGCTCTGAGAGCCAAGGTCGGGAGAACAGCCCACTCACCTTTTCCAAACATGACTATACTTCTCACAATTTCCCAGTGCGATTTCTTCACAGGACAAACAGAGACACTCAAATATTTCTCTTTCATCCTAAGGAAAGCCGCTTCTGGGGCCTGTAGATGGCAGGGAGAGAAGCACATGTGTCTGGTCATGTGACTGGTCATGTGACCGGAGAGGCACAAGCCCCATTTGCTGTAATTGGGACCAGAGGAGTAGCAAGGCCTTGCAAGGTCAATTTTAGCAAGACTTTGTTATCCCTGAGATTTTTATCTAGTTAATCCTCATGTTGTTTCTCTGCCAAAGGCCGCAAGGATTTTTTACAAATCTCAAGATAGCGCTGGCAGAAAGTTTACACGTGAACATCTTCTCTTTTTGTGGTTGAAGATTCCGTAGTGAACAGACTCTGAGGGGGGCTTTGAATGCTCTAAGATATAAATACTGTGTGTTCCAGGAATCACAGAATTATCTGGATATGTGTATAAGCTGTGTGGACACAGAGAGCTATGTACCTAATATATGTAGGACCTAAGAAGATAACATTCACTGCACAAGTTGCAATTGAGGCAGCCAATCACAGGATCAGGAGTTGACTCCAGACTCATAACTGGCCCCAGCTATAGAAGTGGGCGCTAAGGACATGAAAGGTCAATTTATTTTAGAAGGATTGCAAAATAAGCCACCAAATCCAAATGTCTGGGCTTCATATTGGTGTTTTTCGAGGTGAAAATGTTCCAGGCTAAAGTTCATCCCTGAAAACTTCCCAATGTTTATCCAAGTTTTCTTAACCCAGCGGTTCTCAACCAGGAATGATTTTGTCCCTACCCCAGAGACACTTGATGATCCCTGGAGACATTTTTAATTCCCACAACTAAGGAGTCAGGGAGCAGGGTGTCACTTGCATCTACTGGGTAAACTAGGAATGCTGCTAAACATGCACAACATAGCCCATCATAACAAGGGATTATCTGGCCCAAAATGTCAATAGTGTTGAGATTGAGAAACTCTGCCTTCAATCCACTATCAGAAGGTCCATTTGGTTCTGTTCTTTGCATAGATTGTTTTGAGACTGGTAGCTCCACTAGGAGGATCTGTGCTTTCTGGAGACATAGCAAACCCAGTACCTCTTGGTTTCTCTGGATGTCCTGATTGTCTTGTAACCTGTTAGGTTTTGCCCTTCTCATCTGTCTGTGAGGCTTCTGCACAACCAGAAACACAACATGCTCCTTCTTTCCTGTCCTCTCCTCTTCCTTACTCATGTCGAGGATATCCATGGTCACATCAGTGTCAAAGAAGTCTTTGGCCACAGCCTCAATGATACCTATAACAGAAGGACACCTTATGGTAAGGGATGGCAAGAGGCAGTTTTGTCAGCAAAACTTATAATCAAGTTATATGACTTCAGATGAATATCCCAGAGTTCACTAAGCCCAGGCCCTGCATCAAGGCAGGCAATAGATGATAGATTAATAAAATTAAAAATAAAATAACTTCTGGGTAGAGGTTTAAGTTATATATGTATGGATACCAAATATAGCCCTGCCACTCTAATTTCTAGTTCAGCATCTATTCATTTGTTTGTTTATTTCAGGAAGGCAATTAACTCACTAAGCAAATTCTAGAAATATTGTAAACAAAATTTAGTTGTAAAAGCATTAAGGATCAGGTTTTAAAAAGAGGTGCTCTGGAAATCTATCCTAGGGTTATAATATAAGCATGGGAAAATCATGCATGAAGATGTTCACCACAGCAATAGCAAAAGAGTAGTATCGACTAAAAATTCCACAATAGGGGACTAGTTAATTACAATATGGAATATCACTCAGCCATTGAAAATGGGTTTCAAAGACCATGTGAAAGCATGGAAGGATGCTTTCTCCATAATGCTGAATACACAAAGAAAGGTTGATACAAAATAATATATGCAGAATTATCATAACTATGTAAATACTCATGTAGTTTTTTTTTTAAAGTTTTATTTATTTATTTGACAGAGAGAGACACGGCGAGAGAGGGAACCCAAGCAGGGGGAATGGGAGAGGGAGAAGCAGGCTCTCCGCGGAGCAGGGAGCCCGATGCGGGACTCAACCCCAGGACCCTGGGATCATGACCTGAGCCGAAGGCAGATGCTTAACGACTGAGCCACCCAGGTGCCCAATACTCATGTAGTTTAAAATGTTAAAATAAAAATGGAAATTATTCCTTCTTTTGGCACTTTGGGAACTTACTTTAATGGCCCAAAGACTTTGAGAGTAATGATCAAGATGGCAAAGAATCAGATTATGGAAGAGCTGGGCTGGCTATTAACCATCCTGGAGAATTTGTGGGGAGACCGTCCTTACTCCAGAGACCTCATAACTGTGGTACCGGTTAAGATATTCTCATACCTGGTACGATGTGGCACAGACCACTCCTATCAGAGTAGTAGTGGAGAAGCATTTTCCCATCTGCTCCTTTCTCCACGCGGAACGATGGTGCGTTCATCTCCTAATCAAAAAACATGACATGTTGCTCCCAGTGAACACAAGTTGTTTAAATTATGCCTTCGAGGCTTTGTGCAACAACAGTACTTACCCATTACAGCGTAGAAAACTGTTTCTCCAACCCCTTTCCAATCACATAAAATCCACCATGGTGGATTTAAAAGGAATATAGATATTCCTTTTAAAGAGGAAGAAACAGGCTCAGTGGAGTCAAGGCTAAAGTAAGGGTAAAACAAGGTTTGGACCCCAGTGAGCCTTCCTACCATGTGTGCTGCTTCTAACCACACTCCAAGATGGGGCCAGCTGCTTGGCCTGTGATCAAGTGACCATGGGCATCTTCACCCTCAGAAAGATCAGGAGCTCAGAGCAATTTGGAGAAGAGTTCATTTCTCATCATGGAAGTAAAATGCCGTCTGCAATGTAACGTTGCACGTTTGGAAAATCAAGATACATCGGAAGAGATCATCTTTCTCTGGGAACAATTGACATTCAAGTATGTGCCATCTCATGGTAGATGTATGTCAAGAAATAAGGATGAAGACTTTGCCTGGGGGAATTCCTGAGAGAAACAACCTCCCCCTTCCACATTCATTAGTAGGCAGTTCAGCACCCAGGCTTACAGCCTGTGGTCTAAGTGAGGGAAGAGATTTAGTGAGGTGGGTTCCTACCAAGATCTTTGCTTTTTTCTATGGTGGGAGGGTTTCCAGTTAAAATGAGTTTCTTTAAAAAAAAAAAAAAAATATATATATATATATATATAAAATCTAAAAGCATATACATAGAGAAAATATGTTTGTATATATGCATGTTTACCTCTTGATTAAATCTTAAGAGAATTTGAGGCAGCACATATAAAAAGCATATAATAAGACAGGAAATTAAAAGTTATTTAAAAAAATTATACCCAAGCCCTAAATAATAAAAAAAAAAAAAAAAAACAGAGTCCAGAAGGGTAAAATGAAAAATTCACACCCTCTTGCTACCACCTCCACCCTCACTCCTCACCCCCAGCTTAAGCCACTTCCCAGAGACACTTCTCAAAGTCTGTGTTTTTAATTCTTCTAGTCAGTCTATCCAACTCTCTGAATAGTAAGATTATACTTTTATTTCTTGATTAAAATAGGGTTTTATGAAAGTAGAGAATCAGGGCAAAGGGAAAATAATGGGAAGCAGACCAGAGCATGGTCTTTGGGAGACAGGCTTATGTGGGGTTGCGTCCTGGCTCAGCCACCACAACCTGGCAACTTGGGGTGATTATTTGACCTTTCTGGACCTGTTTTCTCATCTATATCATGAGAAAAAAGAAGAAAACCTAATATTAGGGGTGTAAGGAGGACAATTCAATGTTTATAAATTACTTAGCCCAACATCTACCTCATAATTAGCAGCCAGTGAAAGTTAGCTAAAAAACAAGATTAAAGGCACAGGGATAATCAGAAGTGTATGCCTTAAGGCATTGACAGATGACTGGGGGCAGCCAGAAAGAAAAGTCAGCATTATCTTATTTTACTTTTGCCTAGAGAGATAATCTATAATATTCTGCCCAGTATAAAGCTCTATAGCTAGCTATCAGGTATCACTGCATGCATTTTATTACAACTTGCATATTATAACATGCATGTATTTTATTCACCTCATCATGTGCAAAATATCCTCACTTACACCCTGAGAAGTTCTATTCTTTTTTTTTTTTAAGATTTTATTTACTTATTTTGAGAGAGAGAGAGAGCACACGAATGGGGAAGGCCACAAGCAGAGGGAGAGAGAGAATCTCAAGCAGATGCCCCGCTGAGCACAGAGCCTGATGCAGGGCTCGATCTCATGACCCTGAGATCATGACCTGAGCCGAAATCAAGAATAAGACACTTAACTGACTGAGCCACCCAGGTGCCTGTGAGAAGTTCTATCCTTTAGCATTGGTTTTGGCATGTGAAGGAATGACAGATGACTACCCCAGGGGAAAGGTAGTAGGAGTTGGGTGTACAAACAATGGGCTGGGACTTCAGACCCTCAATCCTATCCACCCTTATTCAGTAATTAGAGAGGCAGTAATATGGCGAGTATCAGGAGCATAATATTTTTTTGGTTTAATGAATGAATGGGAGAACATTAACATCCTCCAGAACTGTGACTTGAAGTATTAGCCAAATTTTCAGTTGAAAGATGCTATATTAAAAAATCTCATGGGAGGGGCGCCTGGGTGGCTCAGTCATTAAGCATCTGCCTTCGGCTCAGGTTGTGATCCCAGGGTCCTGGGATCAAGCCCCGCATCGGGCTCCTGCTAGGTGGGAAGCCTGCTTCTCCCTCTCCCACTCCCCCTATTTGTGTTTCCTGTCTTACTGTGCCTCTCCCTGTCAAATAAATAAATAAAATCTTAAAAAAAAAGAAAATATAAAAAACTTTAAAAAAAATAAAAAATCTTATGGGAGATTATTGAAGGGGCCCAACTGTATTTCTTTGTATCCTAATTGCCATGCTTTAGCTAAGAAATTTTAAAGGAAGTTGCCATATAAATTATTGTCATTTTTAAACTGGCCATACTGAACAGAGAGAAGAGGGAAAAGAAGGAAGTTTTTATTATTTATGAAATGCCTTTTCTAGACTGACCACGATGCTGGGGACTTCCACATGTGATCTCTCATAATTCACACAATAATATGAGATAGGATTTTTTTTCCTATTTATTCCTTTTGGTCTCTGTGTTTGCCCAATGCCTACAAAAAGGGCTTGGCACCGAGTAGATGCTCAATACATACTTATTAAATGAATAAGTGAAAAACTCGAGGTCCAGAGAGGGCACCACCCAGCTAGTAAGCTGGTCGGAGAGCACTGATAGGCCCATCTGACCCCATAGCCAGAGCTCCTGTTCCCTCTGTCCTTGAGTAGTTCACATGATAACGACAGGACAGACCCACCTACTCATCCTACTTGAAGTCAGTTAAGGTTTCCAAGCTTCTTATTCCTTTGTGAAAAACCGAGAAAATACTTATTTTCCCATTAAACACGCATAAGGGTGCCTTATGGTTGAGGAGGCAATTTAGCATTTGTACATTCCCATTCTATCCTCATGACAGCCCCTCAAGGGTGGTTATGAGCATTCAATATAAAAATAGGGAAGAAAGAGCTTGGCAAACTACAAAGAGTCCTAAAAATAAATATAAACAATTTTATATAAAATAAGCTATTATCAAAAAATGTGTAAATGCCATTTTGCCTTTTTAATGAAGCATTTTCTTTTCTAAAAAAGAAAAGGAAGTCTAGGCATTTGAATTTCCAGTGATGCCTACAAGCAAGAAAACCAAGGAAAGAACTCGAGGAGGATATATCCCAATAGGGAAATGAGTTTCTTAACCCCTCGGGCAGTCACCCCGTGGGTTACTCAGCACGGGATGGTTTCCAACTCTGGCTCTTGGCCCTGTCCCATCCTTCCTTCTGATACAGGAAAAGATGAATCTGGCTGCAGAAGCTATTTATCAGCTCCATCCAGGCCAGGAAACCTGAGGAGCGATTTTGCAAATCCGCTGAAACCTGATTGTTTCCCTGCCTTTGTTCCCGCCGTGATCAATCTTCCAGATTTCATTCCAAAGCCACACCAGCGACTATCGGAATAGGCCGCCCTCTGTCACAAAGCCGACCTCTTCTGCTTGTCCTTCTTTGACAGCTGCCGGCCAGCTTATAAAAGTGGCCAACAGGCGTTCATTGTCCAGTCCTTCCCTCAGAGAACTCCTGACACCGCGCACCAAGGCTTCTGCCCGCCCCTGCACCTGCACCCCTCCGGCGGGGGGCGGGCAATGACCCAGAACTGCCTCAGGCGTTTGCTTCCCCTTAGGGCCACCCAGACCTGCCTCAGAGAGCCTTACCTGGTAAGATAGTACGAGGTAACTGTGGAGGGCATCCAGGTTTTCAATAAACTCCGTGAGGTTTCCTCCCAGTGTCCGTAACATCCTGTCGTAGCCAGACATCTTGCAGAATTTAAAGAAGTATTCTCCAAAGAGCTTCAGAATGGCTTCCATGGACACACCTGTGGAACCCAAAGCATAGGCCCAAAATAAGAGCACCGGCAAAGTGTTCTTTCTCATTCCGGTGGTCTTCCTTGATCTCCAAAGAGTTCAAATCCTGCCTGCGTGACACGTTACTGAGCAGCCCCCAAAGGTTTCACTTTCCTGGGCAGTGAAATGCCTGTAACATCTCTGGCGCTGTGCCACCGTGAGGAAGCAGTACAGCCCTGGCATCCGAGCGCGGGTTTCCCCTAACCCTACCCCAGGCTTTTCTGTGGCCCCCATGGCGGAAATTCCTCTACGGTCCAGAAGGGGATGGGAAGCTGTCGAATCCCTATGCTGGCTGACTCTGGCACCCGGAAGGAGCTTCGCTCTGGGCAGGGCGGTGTCTGGCCCTCTGCAGTCTCCCCTACCAGCGCTAGACATCTTTAAATCCAGTGGCCTTGAAGTGAAATAAAAAGCAATCTCTGAGAAAGAACTAATACCGCAACTAAGAAACAGTACTGACAAACTTACCTTGATGATGCCAAATGCTTGCAATGACTTCCCCTTTCTCTCTCATCGTCTCCCCATCCCCGTTTCCCTGTGGGGTGCACTTTGCACATCGCATCCTCCATAAAGATCTCTCTGAATATCCCACGTCACCCTGAGGACTCTTCCTAAGGGTTACATTTTATTTTCTTCCCAACCATGTGATAATTCTGAGGGGCAGTGACCTCATTCTACACATTTTCTGTGCCAGACACAAAGTAGGTGCTTGATAAATACCTGGGGGTAGATTTGTCCTTTGCTGGGGCTGCCGCCGCTGTCTGCACTGTTGCAATAGACAGAATGTGACTGTTTGCTTTATAGAGGCAGGAGTCTTTTTTAAAGAATATTTTATAGTTCCTGAAACGCTCATTAATCATTAAGTACTCATTAATCAAAATCATCAATTATTTTGCTCGGCACTTGCCAAAACCTTGTAAGCTAGCTAATCTTATCATCACATCCCCTTTATTACAGGTGAGGTGTCCCCTTTTAGAAATTGAGTCATCTTTGTGAATTGACCCAAACTAGAGGCAGAGGCTCTAACTCTAAATTTGGCGATTTCTTTTTTTTTTTTTTTTTAGATTTTATTTATTTATTTGACAGAGAGAGGGAGCGCACAAGCAGGGGGAGCGGCAGGCAGAGGGAGAGGGAGAAGCAGTCTTCCTGCGGAGCAGGGAGCCCAAGGCAGGGCTCGATCCCAGGACCCTGAGATCATGACCTGAGCTGAAGGCAGATGCTTAACGACTGAGCCACCCAGGCGCCCTAAATTCAGTGATTTCTATACCACATCCCACAGTCTCTGGAGCAGCAAAGAAACGAGAGATCTCCTCCAGGGTGAGACTGCTTATGGGTTGTCATCACTGACACAGGAGACAGGGCATTCCTTGATGCTGGTAGGGGAGCGCATCTGTGAGAGAACTTTCTCTTATGTACATTGGTGTGATGACTCTGGTAGGTCTCGGGCTGGGACAAGGTCTGGAATGCCCAGGCTCACGGGAGACCTGCGGAATTCACCATCAACACAATCCCTGGCTGGATCCTTGAAGGGCCCTGTGATGCTCTGGCTGGATCTGGAATTCACAGCAAGGGGTTTCCAGGTCTCTCACGCTATGCTATCTAAGAACAATTCCTGCAGGGGGGGCAGGGGATCAGGGGAGGTCTGGGCACTTCCTAGCCTCTACTTGCTTCCTGAGATGGTCAGAGAAGCAGATTCCCTGTGACTCATTGTTCACACCCAGCCTCTTGGGCAGATAATTGTTTTGCAATCTGAGCAGGACAGACTCCTGTTCTGAGTTGGTCTGGTCTAATCAGGGATGAGTTATACATACATTCCAAAAATACATTAGCCAGGTCTTTTGAATCTAGACAAAGCTTGGGACGGCAGGGTGGAAGGTGGGACTGGCCTGTGTTAATTGCCTCTGTTGAGTTCTCTGCTTGTGGGTCCATCCCGACCTGGATGCAGGCAGACTTGTGTATAATAGCAATCAAGAGCCACCTGCTAAGCCCCAAAGAACTGAAATAAATTCCACTTAAGTCCTCCACTGCTTATGAGTCCCTGGGAGAAGAACTCCTGAAAAGTACGTGGACAGGTGTGGAATCATTCTTTCCTCTTTCCCCCTTCCCCCTCCTTTCCTGCTAAATCTAGCTTATTTAAGCTGAGAAAAAAACAGCTGTGCTGTGTGTCCCACGGGCTGGAGTGCTGAGCAGGTGCATCCTGTTACCAGCCAGGAAAGCACAGATCCCAGAGGCCTCCTTCTCCCGGGGACCATGCTCAGGAGGACAGGGCTGTCTGCAAGCCAAGCAAGGTATAGCAAAGTGACAGTGGCAGCCTTGTGTAGAAAGGTTACCGGCTTGACTTTTCTCTTAAATCTGTAAACCTACAAAAATCCATGAAGATGCTTATTCCAGACCCTCGTTATTTTGTTCCTGGGCACCCAGCTCTGTTAATAGGAAAGGCCGGCTGGTTCAGGGACTAATGGTTGCTTGAATACAGATCTCGGGTTTGGGTGCGGCGTCTTCCGTCCGTGCTGGGTTTGGGGCTTCTTGTCGGATTCTTGGTTGAGAATGCTTGTCTAGCAGAGGACAAAGGTAACTTTTAAAGACCAAGGCCTGTGTTGGGTTGTTACACAGTTTCAGCTCAGTGAATTTAGGATTCTGTGAGTTCTCTAAGTCACAGGGAGTCAGGGATATATAGGAAATGGTGAGAAGAAGTGAAAACTAAAAGAGCCATAGGTGCCTTAACATATTTTTTGATAGTGCAAAGGATAATCTGTAGTATGCTTAGTATCTTATCTTTTGTGTAACAAATCAGGGGATATAAGGAAATATGCATTTATCTGCTTATTTGTGCAAAATGAAATACCGGAAGGATAAATCAGAGACTATTGAGGTTGCTTACCTACAGGGCATTGGTGGGAATGAGGTAGAAAGGTTAGAAAAATTGTGGAGGGTGGGGGACTGACATTTCTCTGAGCATAATTTTTTGGACAGTTCTGGTTTGGGGAATCATGTTAATGACTCATATACTGAAAATAAAGAAAACAAATCCAGTCAATGAGGATAGGGAAAGCCCTGAGATAGAATAGAAACAGATTAACAGAACAGTATTTGAAAAGAACAGTTCTGAATAATCTAATTACCCAGGAAAAAAAAGTAACCCAGTAACATTTGAACACAGTATTTACACTGCTCTGTCTTCAGGCTAAACCCCCAAACAAACAAACTTTAAATAAATATTTGACTGTAGTTAGTAGGTTTCCTTCCCACCATGGTGTTGGTAAGCAATTCTGAAATGACTTTCTGAACATTTGAGGATTAAGCATATAAGTAAATATATTGTGAAAAATGGGGAACAAGTTCCTCACTGTGTGAGAAGGAAGTTACAGTTATGGAAAGGGAAAGAACAGAATGAAGTCTGTGGGGTAGATTAGCAAATCTCCCATAATAGACAATAAGACCCATCATGGTTTTAGATTGGATGGATGGATGTGTGTGTGTTCAGGACTCCTTGGAGAAATGGTAGATTTCAGGGCTGGGGCAGAGGAAGGGTAAGACAAGCCTATAACATCTAGTCACACCAGAAAGTAAAGAAATAATCAAAGAATGATGATGTGTCAAAAGGACAACGGGACCAGCTTAAAGGGGCTCCCACTGGCTAAATCTTGGAGAATTTGAGCATCAAAAGAAATAATAAAATCAAAGGATTACAACCTATTTAAAAAATAATAATCAAGGGTTGATATTGATATAAATAAATGGGAAAGAGGGGAAAACTCTTTCTTTCCCAGTAGAAATCCAACTAATAAATGTAAAAGGAACAATATACCATTTGGCCACCACCGTGATTATGGCTTCAGGCAAGAATCACCAGTGAGTACCAAAACTGGGTAGGGAGGAGTTTGAGAAGCAACTAGATATTTGCATAGTCTAAAAGTATCTTCTCACAAACTACTAATTACAAAGGGAATGACAGGAACAATGTGGTAGAGAAACCTGGCAGGTCCCACCTTAAACCAAGCAATCAAAGTCAACACCAATAACGGGACAATGGGACAAATGGCCCCTGCTATGATGAACTGGGAAGGACAAAACATCACTTCTGTGGTCTTCCTGCCAAGAAAGCACAACGTGAATTGAATCAAGGGAACTATCAGATAACCCTGAGTTGAGGGGCATTCTATAAAATAGCTGACCAGAACTTGGCAAAGATTGCAATGTTATAAAACCCAAAGAAAGACCCAGGGGCGGTTCCAGATGTCAGAAGACGGAAGAGATGTGACAACTGCTGCGATCCAAGGTTTTCTTTTGTTCTAAGGGATATCACAGGGACAACTGGAAAAATCTCAATAACGCCTGTAGATTACATAATAGCCCTACATACACGTTCATTTCCTGAGTTTTGTAGTTGTAATGTAGTTATGTAAAAGAATTTTTAGGGCTAACAAGACGTCATATCTGCAACATACTAATGATTCAGGAAAAAAATTATAGACTGAAGGATAGAGCCAATATAGTAAAATGCTAACATTTGGGTAATATGGATGAAAAGTATATGGGAAATCTTTGTGTTATTCTTGCAAACCTCCTGTGAGTTTGCAATTACGTCAAAATAGAAGTTTTTGCTGATTGTCCTGAAAAGACCTTAGTAAATCTAATATAAAAAGACCACAAAGACCACATTTCTCCTTGGCCAGCTGAGATACAGCTGGATTCCGGGCCTCTGTAATATTATGAATTTTGTTAGGTATAATCAAGGCATTATGATTATATTTTAAAATGTCTTTATCTTGTTAGAGACTCATACTGAAATATTTATGAGTAGAATTATGGGAAACCTGAGATTTGTTTTAAGACATTCCAGGAAAAACAAAACCAGAGAAAGGGTGGAGGGACCAGAGAGATGGAACAAGATTGGTGAAAAATTAATAATTATTGAAGCTGGGTGAGGGACACAAGTGCTTGCGTATACAATTCTCTCTACGTGTGTGTGTGT